AAAGATCTGCTCATGGTCGTTCTAATCGTGTATGACTCAAGTGTCTAACTCTTCATCCAAAAAACGACATAGGTTTACAAAATGAATCATGTGATTTTGACAGCCCTAGGTTCAGACAACCATGGCACAAGACTCTTTCATTCTGAAATGTGCTGAGAATCTTTTTCTAAATCAGTTTTCATAGCTGATTCAGAAAAATATAGCTCGAACTTTCAAACTAGTAGTACAGGGTCAAAAAGTGAAATTATGATAGTGATTGTTTTTTCGGGTTGGTATAAGCTTTATTCGTTTTTTCGGGTTGTTGTCACCTTCTCAGTAGTTTCATCTCATATGGGATGACAAAGTCAAAAACAAATTCCACTCGAAGTTTGAATTATTTGCATCTTAAATACGACTAAGAAGACCGTCAATAAGCAAAAAGAGACGTTTCGAACATGCTGCCCTCGATGAAACTTCTTTTCTCTCAATGATCAGACAGTTCTGTGTCCATGCTTTCAACCAGTTCTTATTATATATGGGGAAAAAGTGTTGCTAGCCTTTCCTAATTATTCTTATGAAGCAACAAAAGTTATAAATAAATACAAAAAAGGCATCTTTTACGAAGAAAAATATTTTCTATAGAAATCTGTCTTCTATTTAATTCTATCAAGGCCTTTTAAATAACGTCCAAAAAAATGTTTGTCGATGAAATGATTAAGATAAAATGTAACAGGTAAAAACAGGACATTTTTAATGCTTTCCGTTGAAAAAGTCAACTTTTAAAAATAAAATCTAACTTCTCAAGTCAAATCATACCCCAAAAGATTTTGGACGACTTGACTTGGACTTGAAGCAATTTGGACTTGACTTGCCCAGCTCTGTTAATTTAGCAATCGTTTTTGCAGGATGTCAGGGAAAGAAAAAGATAAGCAAAATTTCTAATCGAGAAGATCCGGTTTTTGATGGGCTTCAGAATCTTTTGTCAATTATTTGATCACTCAGCTTCAATGAGCTTCAATCAGTTTCATTCAGTTCCACTCAGCTTCAATGAGTTCCGAAGGGTGAGGGCTCATTGAAGCTCAGTGGAACCGAGTGGAACTCATGTGGAGCCACTTGGTACAGGCCAGCTGTCACAAAATGGCCGAAAATGAAAAAAGGGCACTTAGTATTTCACCTCTCCTGAATAGAAGGCAAAACAAAACGTTCTTATACTAGATAAAAATGAAGATAAATAACCGCTTAATCCAGTGAAAAAAGGACAATGTCGATGTTTATCTCCGTCTTTGAGTACGAAGCCCATCTTTGAAGGACTTTTTTTTTCAAAATAGCCAACTTTCAGGCCTCCCAGCACAAAAAGTGTTTAGCCGAGTTTTTTTCTTTTTCCCTCATTTGTAGTACTTGTCGAGCTCTACAAAATGGCATCAAAGATATTTTTGACCCACTTCGTTTTCACTCTCTGCTTTCGATCACAAAAGTCAAAAATATCGATTACTGTTTTCAGTATTTTAGTGGGACTTCTGCTGCAGGATATTCTGATTTTGTTTCGAATTGAGCCAGAAGAAGTGCTGTATTTTATATATTTTTTCTTGACTTTAGTCTAGGGTATTACAAAATGGTCGTCTGTGTGTGTGCGTGTGTCTGGTGCGCAAAATACGGAAAAATGGCTGTCTAATCTTATATGGATAAGTGAATCACAAGAGAGAAAATATTCAAAGAGATGGCTAGAATAATATTTACTGCGAATGCCGACCGAAGGGAGGCGTGAGCATTGTCTGGTATTCAGAAGTAGTTTTAGACCTCTGGGAACTTTTGAAAGGTCTTGACAAAACTTTTTAGATTTATATTAGATTACGAAGCTTCAACATTAAATCAGAGAGATATTCATAACACTAGGACTGTTGATTCCCGAAAAGTGAGAATCATCAAAGACCAGTGACCTATAATAAATGGCTCAAGCCAAACAACACAAAAAGAGTAATAAAAAAGAACAAAATAAAATAAAGTATCTTAAAAGATAAAATAAGATAATGAAGGTTAGAACAGAAGTAGTAGAAAAAGAACAAATTTTTGAAAAGCAAAAAACTATAAATAAATAAAAAGAAGTAATTAAGTAAAAATGAACAACTATAAATTCTTAACTGACAAAATGTTTCACTGGAAGAGATACTGGCATAAAGCAGTTTTGAAAGACATTAAAGAAGACAGACAAATAACTGACTCTGGGAGATTATTCCAGTCAACAATAGTTGAATAAAAAAAAGAAGAATGCACCGTTTGCGGAGAATAACGATCAACAGAAGATGGAATGCGAACATATTTAGAATGATGAAGACGTAGAAATGAGTAGTGAGAACGATGAATAGTATAAAAAAGAGAAACAACACATAGACGATGATAAATTTTGAAGAACTGTAGAAGTCTAAAGTATTTACGACGAATAGTGAGATTTGGAAGAGAAAGTTGAGACACAAGTAGAGAACCAGAAGAACGATAGTCAAAATTGAGAGAAATAACACGAGAAGCAAGTTTGTTTACAGAATCAAGAACAGTAAGAGAAAACGAACTGTCATACAAGGCACAGCAATAGTCGACTTTAGGAAGAATAGAAGAAAGATAGATTCGACGCCGAACTTCAGTTGGAGCTAATCCAAAGACACGATTTAATGCTCCAAGTTTGCGCCGACAAACAGGAATAATGTCCTTGGCATGATCATTTTCCACCTAAGATCGTGCGAAACAAGAACACCAAGACAACGAGCAGAAGACACAACAGAGAGAGGAGTACCATTGAGATACAATTGATTATAAACGTACGGAAAGAGGTTGAATAAGAAAGGAAGCCAACAATTTAGAAACGGTTAAAGACATGAGAAACAGAGTTTATACAGTTTTGAACATAAGAAAAATTAGAAGAATCAGTAGAGGAAAGAGGAAAAATCAGAAAAACATCATCAGCAAAGAGACAGATTCCACAATTAGGTGGAAGCGACAGAGGTAGATCGTTAATAAAATAAGAGAGGCCCAAGCACACTGCCTTGAGGAACACCAGAAGGAACAGGAGAAGAAGAAGAGACAGAATCATTCACACGCACACACTGAGAACGGTTCGAAAGATAAGAACATAGAAGAGACAACAAAGAATCATACACACCACAACAAGGAAGTTTTTCTAACAAGAGAGAATGACGAACAGAGTCAAATGCTTTAGAAAAATCAAAAGATACACCAACACACTTTACACCAGCATTCAAAAAGTTAAAGACGGTTGAAGATAAAAGCAACAAAGCATCCAGAGTAGAATATTTAGGACGAAAACCGAACTGTTTGTTTACAAAAAAAGTGTTTAGAGAGATGAGAAAAAATAAAATTATAAATTAGACGTTCAAAAACTTTAGAAACAACAGGAAGCCGCGAAATAGGACGATAATTAGAAATATCAGCAAGAGCGCCTTTTTATGAACAGGTACAATTAATGCAATTTTCCATAAAGTTGGAAAATTGCTAGTTGAAAGACACAGATGAAAAATGAAGTGAAGGTGAGATGAGAGAATGTCAGCTCAAGGAGAGAGAAAGGAAGAAAGAATTTGGTCAATACCAACAGTAGACTTTTTATCCAATTTCTGAAGTAAACGCTCAACGTCTCGTATAGAGAAGTCGAGGTGTTTATCCATCGTTGGCACGTCTGGAGTGGTAGAGGGAGGAATTTGCCCCTGAAGAGAAGAATAACAAGGGGAAAAATGAGAATTGAAAAGTTCAGCTTTATCCGCATCTATGGAAACAGATGTGGAGCCTAGAAACAAAGACTGAGGTAAAATGAAGTGGGAAGAGGATAGTTTCTTAATAGAGCTTCAACGAGGATCAAAAAATAAGGAAAAGAGAGATCGGAAGTAAGAAGATTTTTCACATTGATAGAGAGAAAGGACAAGATTTCTCGCTTTACGGAACTCAGCAAGGTTAAGAGAAGTATAACGGCGTTTAAGTTTACGAAAACGCTGATTACGGATAGAGATATGACATGCAAGGTTTGGAGAAGGCGCGAGAAGAGGAGATAGAGTACGAACTAGCACCAGTGAGACAAATCTACGAATGGCATCGTTTGCGTGCTCCGTCCAAATGTGGACGGCCGTATCAGCATCGGTGGTCGTATAAAGGCCATGAGGTATAAGAGAGAGAAAACGCCGTAGTTCAGACCACTGGGCTTTTTAAAGTCATAACGATAAGAAGTAGACGGAGAAAGAGATTGAACAGGTGCATCAAAAGTAGCAGATAAACAAAAATGACGAGAACTGCCAACAGGGGGAAAAGAAGAGAAAGAAACATTCTTTCAGGAAAAAGGATAAAAGATATAGTCAATACACGTATTAGAAGTAGTAGTGACAGAAAAATCAACAAGAAAACACAGAAAAGAGCTAGAGAGATATTGAACATTTCAGAAGACACATGAAAGTTGCGATTAAGATCAGCACACAACAGGAGGTTAGAAGAGGTAGAGGAATAGTTAGAAACAAAAGTGTGAAGAACATCAAGAAAGAAATCAACGGGAACAGATTGCGAACGGTAACAATTACATAAAAGAAAATCAACAGAAGGAGACTGTACAAGTAATATAAAAGCATCAATAATATCAGAAGAAGCGAGTATAGAAAATTGTAAAGTAGAGGAAATATACGTTGCGAGACCTCCTCCGTGTCGATTTCGATCTCGGCGAACAAGAGAATAACCAGAGAGGGTCATCTGCCCATCACTAATTGTCGCAATCAAGATTCGTTTCTTGAAATGATAGAATGTCAAAATCGCTAAAAGAAAAGAAAGTTTTGTCCCTGATGATGAGACCAAAGTTCTTAACAAGACTTTGAATATTGTGAGAATAAATATTGAGTTTGTGGGCTAATGTATTGTCGTTTCGTATGGCTTGAGTCACATTGCATCAGTAACGATTGGACGAGCGATGGTAACGTTTTTGTTGTGGATTATTGCGGAAATTATTCTTATTGGTATTGGTATCGTAATTGACATTAGTATTATTTATTGGCGTTGGGATTATTATTAATATTGACATTATTATTATTATTAATATTATTACGATTAATATTGTTATTGGTAGGCTTGCTATTCATGTCATCACTATTTTGATTCGGTCGATTACTATCCATGTCAACAACAGATGATGACGTAGTAGATTGCTGTTGTTGCGACTGATTCTGTCGTTGTCGAGCCTCAAAGGCTTGCAGAGATTGTTGTTTTGTCAAATGCTTACCGATGTAAACAATTTTGACAGAAACGTCAGACGAGTTTTTTATCACCAGTGCCTTTGCCAAGATCGACGAACGAAGAGACAAGTCATTAAAGGCGATATCGAGAAGTGGCGGACGATCATTAGTCGTTGCTGACGAGGTTTTAAATCGCCACACCGAATCGATGGAAGACGGATGAATGTTGATACCAAGGTCATCTTGAACGAAACGGACGACAACTACTCTATCATTAATACCCTCAACGGGAGACAAGTTTTTGACGATGATGTTTTTTCGTCGCTTCTCTTGTTCCAAGTTTTCGTTCAATTTATCGAGATGGTCAACAAGTTGATCATGTGTGTCGTTAATGGTTGTTAGATGATGTTCAATCTTGTCGATTCGATCAGATAACGTTTGAAGACAACGAGGCGGAACACGATCGACGGTTTCATCACTCAAACACTTTGGACAAAACCAGTTAGAAAACTGTTGTTGTTCGGCTAGAGTTTGATACGCCGTACATGCCGTTGGTGAAACGTTAACACATGCGTTATCTTGCATATCCTGATGTTCTGATTTCTCAGCATATTTTTCTTAGCATTTATCATCATTGTATTATATAATTCTTAATATGGTGTTTTCAATAGAGAGAGAAGATAGATACAGAGTAGCGTGTGATGATTTATAAATTTGACAAAACAGAACTAAAAAACTTTAGAGAGCTTAATTTCTTTATAAAATTTACCAAATTCTTCAGTAAATGGCTTCCAATGCGGCGGAGTAGTAACCGATCTAAAAAAGGGAGACCGGGCAGGCCGCCCATCCGTTATAATAACACGAAATGCCTATATTTGTGAATATATTTGAATGAAGTGAATATATTTGTCATGAAAGTGATGCAGATAAGATACAGCACAGATAATTTGTAATGTGAATAAAGAAACGGAGTGAAGGACCGGGTCCGCCCCCCCTCATCCCGACGAAAAAAACTTTTTTATTTCACATCCGATTTCGATGGTATTTATAGGAATTAATGCTTACTGTGCACGCATCTTTTGCTAACACTTTGAGCTAGAAACGTTGAAGCGTTGCTGTGTTATTGCGTGACAACGGGCAAAGTGGGGCTCTTAGTAAAAATGTATAGCCTTGTTGGTAGAGAGAGCAGAGGGCAGTCTTAAATAAAAATAGACACCTAAATCTAAAATTTGTCCGTAACGCTTTTTGAATTTCGCTTCCGTTCCACATTCTCTACGTGTGTTTTAAACCAGAGCTCTGAAACCCTAATTCGGCGAAGTATTTGCCACATATCTCTGCAAAGAAAACGAAATTCAAAAATCGCTACAGACCAAATTTATATAAATGTCTTAACTTCAAAATAAAAAAAGAATGAAGGTTTTACGACCTCTTGGACCTCACACAACTTCGCTGCGTCTCCAAACCTGCAAAGACATTGAATTTTTGGCAAACTGCGATGGATTCTGAAAGATGATACTTTGGGATACTGAACCGTATGGTTACTTCAGTTTAAGGGTTTCGAAGAAAACATCAAATTCCGCTGGCGGGTGAGGAGGCGCTCTTAACAGAGTAGGCAGATTTGTCATGCAAAATAAACCGATATTTTTGCACAACACTCTAACGCGTTTTCATATCAAACCCTATTTTTTTAACTTTTAGCACTATTGTGTAGCTTATTATCGTGCAGTGTGCAAATCTAAATCTTTTCTAATAAGAAGGGACATGAGAATACTAACCAAAGGAGAAGTGGCGATAAGGTCATTTTTCATGTCACACTTTTTTGGCTAAAAAATCATTCGTTGTAATCAGCATCAAATTCCGAACAAAACAGCCGCTTAAGTTTTTCCAAAAGAAAAGTTTCATTTTTTTCAAAAAAAATTTTCGTTTACTCTTTTTTCTTTCCCCACCCGTGGAACATCGAAATTTTTGGTATCTCAAATTTCAACGAAAGATACATCATTCGACGCAGAATTTCGGGTGGATTACGTTTTATCGACTTGATTTAACCCTTTGAGGACGGGGTTGTTGTAGATACAAAAAATCAAGTTTTTTGAAACGCTGATAGCTATATTTATGTAGATTTATTTAGACAAGTTAAAAAACAAATGTCTAGAAGTATTTCAGAAAATAATCTGTAATGCAAAGTCCAACGTTACATTCAGTGCATTCATATCGAGTTTTAGTACTTTTTGTGGCCCTGTTTGTTGTATTTGTGCACACTACACACACCGTTTTTGAGGACTTTGACTTGTTACTTTCTGCCATGATCTTGAAATACGATTCCAGTTATTAAGTGAAAAAGTATTTTCGCTCTCTGTATCAGGATCACTATCTTCAGAACTGTTGGATTCGTTTTCAACTTTTGAGTCTAATTCACTGTCAGACTCAGAATCATTGTAAATTTCGTTGGTTTCACGAGTAGTTGTTCTAGCTGTTGCCATTTCAATCAACAAAAGGAATAAATAACACGAAGTATCTGTAATCAATATGTCACGGTTTTTATTTTGATATACAAGCGCACCATGAGTGGGCAATCTTAAAAACCGACAGATGTCGGACCACGTCCGGACCCCATACCAAGGTTCTTAAATTTTCTAAATCACATATTCTTGCTCAGAATTCAACGCTCGTTCAAATAAGATATGTCACGATGTTTGCGGCAAACCTTCATGTAAAGTGTGGGGCATTTTCGAAAGAATTAGCCCATTATGTCCAAGGTAGTTAACGCACGTGGTCAAGGACATTCAAGCAAGGACGGTAGAACATCTTTTTGACTTGTTTTTAATGGGGAACAATTGAAGCATATTAGAATATAAAACGTGTTACTTTCAGATTACTTCTCTTTATCGTGAAACTGTCGAAACTGCTCTTGGCGAATGCTCGTAGCGTATGCGTACAGCGAAAATTATGAATTAACTGGCAGTCTAAAAGTTTAGTTTATACGAACAAGATTCTCAACTTGTAGAAAGACTACAACTGAATAAATCCGTTCCAGATAAGAGGCAGACTAATACAATAACTGATACTTGTCCCATTCATCATTTAATTCGTGACTCCACTAATGCTCCCCATTCGGTTGTATATTCCGAGAAATACATAGAGCAGTACAACCATCGGCATTTGCCATTAATACGTGAATGTTCGATGACCTACAAAGTAACAAACTACTTATAGCAAGGAAGTTCTACATTGAATTTTCACCCTTTCTGTGTTGAAACTCAAGACTGGACAACTAGACAAGAGGTAATTTCGCTATCCAATGGAACCCACGATATTTTATGATCATCAGGTCTTTGAATGGCATCAAAAGAACGGTTTCTGGATTCAGTTTTTCACGCAAAACAAGAATAGCATACTTTCAAAATTTTCAGACTAAGATAAACTAGAGATTTTCACCACTTTTAAAAATTAGGTCGTTTTGAAAGATTTTACAAATTTCAGTTTTTTTGAAATTTTAACCGTTAGAAAAATTTTTCGGAAGGTTAAAACACGCATATTCCTACTTAGCTTCACGTGTCTTAGCTAACCATGTATTTATTTCGCAAAAATAGAAACTGTTGAAACTTTGAATTTTCAGCACCTCAATAATAGGTGAAACGAATTTTATTTACGTTTAAGTTTAATTTTTTTAGTATACAAATTTGTAACAGTATTTTGGTCGTTTGTGATATATATTTCGCCCAGTTTTTATTTAATTATAGAAAGTTCTTTAATATTAGCATGTTCTTTGTGTTTTTTAAATAGTTCAATTGTCTCAAGATTATTAGCAAATTTTTTAGTATTAAATTATTTATATTTTTATGATGCGTATGAGAGGTTAATAAAGATGGAGATTTTCTCTTGGTTGATGATATGTTTAGTTATCATTTTACTTCTTTTTGTTTTATATGATTTAGTTAAAAATTAGCCAAGAGTTTTGGTTTTATTTGTGATTTTATTTGTTGATAGTAAGAACTAAAAATTTTGTTATCTTTTATTTGTTCTTTGAGTTATTGTTTTGATTTATTTTCTATCTTGATTTTAGAATATAGTCTAGAGCGATTAATTGTTACATATTTGATTGTATTCCTTTTTGTTTTCTAGTCCATCTTTATTTGTACTTTTAACTGTTCATTATTCTTTAATAATAAGACATTGATTAATATATGGTGTTTTATTCATATTATTTTTAATACTTTCTTCTATAGTAAAATTTTCTGTTTTTAGTTTTCATTATTGACTGCCTGTAGTTCATGTTGAAGCTTCAACTCTAGGCTCAATTATTTTAGCTAGAATCTTATTGAAACTCGAAGGTATTTACAGTAAAATATTTAAAATTCACTATTAATATAACTTGAATGATTATAGGAGTTTTTTAATTTCTATATTTCTAATTTTATTTGTTAGAGATTTAAAAATTATTATTGTTTATTCTTCAGTGACTCATATAAGTTTAATATTTTATTCAATGATACTACAGTAGGTTTAGATCTAGGCATTAAAGGGCTATATTTATAATGTTTTATCGTAGATTTAGTTATTCTTTAATATTTTGATTAGTAGAGTTTTGAATCATTTTAAATCTCGAAGAGTTTTTGTTATAAAATATACGGAATTTAATATATATTTTATTTTAATTGTTTCTTTTTATTATAATTCTAAATATGAGGTTTCGTCCTGTATTAGGCTTTTTAAGCGCAAAGTTTTGATGTTAAAAGCTATTATAAAAATAAGGTTTATATTGTTTTTTAGCTCTTTCAACTATTTTATTGTCTTGTTTTTATAATATATTTGTATTGTATTTTATAATTCAGTTACTGGAAAGAGCAAATTTTTATAATTTAGCTTATTTAAAATTACTGTAGTTTTGAGTGTGTTTTTAACTGTGATTTTGGATGATTATTGGAAAGGTAAATCATGTTGGGACTAATATCCGAAAATAAATTTTTTATCTGTAATTGGAATTACAATATTCATAATATTACTTTTAGTTAGTTTGCTTTTTGTTAATAAATTTATTTTTATAATTTCTATTAATTTCTTTAATTTGATAATACTAGATATGGAATTGGTATTTGATCTAAGGGAAGTATCTTTTTCTTTTTTATGTCTTGTTTATAGTTTAATTGTAATAGTTTTTTCTTATATTTATATAAAAAATTTAGCAAGTAATATTTTTCCTTGGGTCATACAAACGAAATGTCCCTCCGTCCGTCCGTCTGTCCTTCCGTGTAGAATAGTAGAGTAGTGACACCTGACGCCACTTGAACGTAAATTAGCGACATATTGACATTCGAGGAGGAAAAACACGTAATTACTACTTTTCTCAACAGCAGGACATCCTAGATCTGCGAGCCCTGAATAAAAAGTGTCAGAGATTTAATTTCACATATTTTATCTGCTGGCATCAGTTTGCTTAATTAGCGAGAAAAACGCTAATTTTTGATAATTAACACTTTTCACCGTGAAGCAAGCATCTCACAAATCTGGCTCTCGAACCGAAAATGTCCGAAACTAAATTTTACATATTTTATCTTTTGGCACCAACTTCATGGCGATCTGCAATC